ACAGAGTTACATTTTCCAAAATGATTTACAGTTTCGTCGATCATTCTGGCACAATCCTCGACCTTGGAAACATCTGCGTGTATTATAATAACATCCGGAGATCCAAAATCTCGAGCTCTATCCGCAACTTCCCTAAGTGCATTCTCCCTCCGAGCAGAGAGTGCTAAACGAGCACCTTTTTTGCCATACTCGTATGCCAAATGCTGCAAATTGAACAGGAGCTGATGGCAATGGACACAGCACGATTATTCTAGCAAACAGGGAAAAAAAAATGGGCATGGGATAAATTACCTCGCCGATGCCGGAGGAAGCACCAGTTATGAGGACAACTTTGCCGGCGAGATTCTCAGCGAAGATGGAGTTCAAGGTGCAAAGAAAGAACTTGAGAGTCCAATAGGCGGGTAAGAAGAGGGCAAGAGAAAAGAAGGTGAACGGAGGAGCAACGAGGTTGAGGAAACCGTGAATGAGATCCATGAATTAGCAACAGAAGAAACAGGAACGAAAATGATCTGATTAATGATACGAAAGAATGAAAGAAATCTGGGGTTTATAGGTGACCAAAGGAGGGACGAATGCGAGGCAAGGTGGCACCAATGCATGCCATGTAAACGACACGTAGCTCAGAGATAGCGAACGCGTCGGTGCCTATTGTCCGGTGACGTTTCGATTTGTACTGTAACGAGTTCCTTCCTCCCTGCATCGGGCCCCCTCACTCACGGAGATTATCAGACCCGTAAACGACACTGTTCCCAGAGTCGTTTGTGGTTCCATTCATTAGGATAAGGGAGATGATTCGAAAGCTCGCTAGACTCCTCGAAAATCTAGAAACACCCCCCCCCCCCCGGCGGGGGGAATCAAAAGATGTTTGTGCTCAAAATCCAAAAGTTGGCTAAAGTAACTTTGTTTCGCTGCTTTTGTAAATGGAATCTGCTCGACGACAAAGTTGCTCACACCCATAAATCAGAAATTAATTATATATTCCCCCCGAGCTTAATAGAAAAACTAACTAACTAATTTACATAAATTAAAATTTTTTATTAAATTAGTTATTATAATAAATATGTATTGTTTTCTTTAAAATATTCTTAATAATTATATGTATTTGTTAAAATTATCATGCAATAAAAAGATTATTTTTAAGATCATATACTCAAACTAAATTAAAAGTCAAATCACTAGTGTTACACTAGTTCTTCAGAACGACAAGTGCTGAATTGAGGAAGACTTTGATCATAGCTTATTAATTAATTACACCATTAGGCAATTTACAGGGCTCGGTACCTTTCCATCAGTAACTGTATTAACCACCATATCGCTACACTTTTAAAATTCTCAATTATACCCCACTGAGAAGCCGTCACGTTTTAGATGGCTGAGTTCAAGCCTCCTCTGCCGGAGGACTCTTGCGATGAATTCGTCAGCCCTTTTGCTGAGTTCGTCAGAAGCAGAGACCACATTTTGTTCTCCACTTTCTTCTTCCCTTTTCATCTTCGTCACCTTCTCTGCAACATTTTTCTCTTGTTTCTTTGATCTCCGGAACTGGACAGTTCGAATTTGAGGCCACTGAGTTTTGCTGCTATTGACGTGTTCCTCATACAAGTACACAGGAGTGGTTGAAGAAGAAGAAGAATGCGGAGAGAAGATTCTGGAGTCTACAACTATGGCCAAAATGATGAGGTTGCCTATGATAAACAAAATCTTTGAGCTCAGTAAGACAGAGGCAAAACCGGGAATTAAGGCGAAGAAGACGAACTTCACAAGTGAAGGGAGGCAGGAAGTGATGCAATAGAAGACACTGCAAGTTAAAACTGTCAAGAAATAGAAATACAGATGGTCGAGAATCTTCTTCGTTTGAATAAGATCCTTGAGATGAAGAGTTATCTGACTGTACGCCGGCAAAAACGAAGCTTAAAGTAACTATATAGATTAAGGCAGGGGTTGATTGGTAAAATCAGTCGCATGTTAGTTTATAGTTGCTTGTGAGGGATTAACGACTTTAGATAAAGCAATGGGACACGGTGACGTGGCTTTTTGTAGGCAATATTCCTTTTTGATATCAAAAACTATTCACCCCCTTATCTCTGATTCAGTTCAGAGTGGCTTTTCATCTCTTCATTTTTGTCCGGTGTGAAACATGATGTATAATTAATTTCAGCTAAATGCGTTTGTTTTTTATTAGCTTCGTAGAAGACATTATCATGATCTTTAAGGGTGGCTGCTAAATCCAATGGCTTCTTCTGTGATTGAGAATCCACATCAAAGTGATCAACTTGGGGATCATTTGGGTGACAATGGATGTTATCCTTTTTATCATATGCAATTCTTTTAGTACAGAAACTTTGTCGACAAATGAAAATAATTTGGACGGATCTCATCTAAGAAAGCACGCTTTTACGAGGATTTGTAAAGCTCTGTCTTTTCACTATGGCAAAAGTGGGTGGGATTTTGTTTCAAGATCTTTAGCGTTTGCTTTATTAATCTTGTGGAAGAAGGCTTATCATTACGGAAAAAGCAAATATGGAGTAGAAAATAGAAATGATACATTCCTAGTGTGGGAATAAGCAATTGTGTATTGAATCTACTCATTATTAGAAATTCCTTACAAGCAATATGAATATTTTAAAGAAAAAATTATAAATTTAGAAAATAAATTGAATTGAGATTTTATATTTAAAATCAAATCTAAGCCCTTAACTATTTCTTATATTAACTAGCAAAGTTACTACTTCTTTATGCATCATCATACTTATTTGGATCAGAATAATATTTTATTTTTATATAATTTTTAATCCTGGATATTGTCCCTCGCTGCATCCTCTCTACTCTCTACTCTCTAGCATTGTTCTTTGCTTATTGTTAGGACTTAGGATGCAGATCATTCTTGCATCAACGTAAGCGTACTGGGCCCGCTGCCCACTAGCGGGAAAATTATAAGATTACAAAAAAAAAACTTTTCGCACTTATAATTTTATGATTCGGTCCATATATCTCAATTGTTAATTTGTTAACAAGAGGTCAATTGACTAATTTCAAAAAATTTAGAAAGTTACTAAATTATTTTAAAATATATATTTTCTGTTTTTATTTAAACTGATTTGCCTTACTTACAAATTGTTTTATAATCTAATAATTTATATAAATATTTTATAGAGATCATGTAACATGTATTATAATTAAATAGTTTAGTAACTTTCTTGATTTTCTTAAATTAGTCAACTGAATCTTATATTAAGTAACAGAGATAGTAATTAGATTTTTATGGGGCCAAACATCAAATATATACTTCTGGTACTTCATACATTACCAATAAAACTTAGTTCAAAATGCAGTATTCTTTTACAAATTACTTTTCAATTCAACACTAGCCCCATGATCTGTGACAATCATTCTTCCAAAAATCTATTCAGATTAAATTAAATAATTTATTTGAAAGATTAACCATAATATAAAAAAAAATCTTAAAATTATAAAATCACTGTTATGATTAAAAGGAATAAACTTATATCAAGAACAATATCAATCATTAACTTGAGCCTTAGATATCTAAAATCCGAAATACTATTCAACTATTAACCCAAACAAAACATAGGCTTTCAAACATATAAACTGATAAATCATTTTAAAATAAGTTATGGAGTTTATTAATCGAAAAGTTAAAACTTTCAAAAGATAGTCACATGCAAAGTCTTAGAGGCCCATTGCCTTCTAACGATCCTCCCATCAAAATAGTAGCAATTAAAGTATTAATTTACAATATCAGAGTAGATGAGCCTTATGTGGCAATATGTAATAAATCAACACATAAAACAAAAGAATGAAAGGTATACAAGCATAATAGCATATTAAGCCTTCAAAGCCTTTCCTGATGGACCACCACCTGAACTATCACCTAAAGATAGTAGAAACCACGAGGTGAGACACAAGCCTCAATAGCCACTTAGCCAGCTTTCCAACTTATTATGCATACTAACATGTGCTCGTAGAGTGTCAAGTGGGACAGTTATTAGTTCTCAAGAAATATAGATATATCAATAGGAATATAAAACACATATACTAAGATAATTTTAATTATACAAAGCCTCACTATGGGGGCTAACATACAAGCCACATAAGTTTATCCCTCACTTTGGGGGATGAATAAGAAGCCACAAGGGCATATCCCTCACTGTGGGGATGAAAGAAGCTAATCAATATGCACCAATGGTAGCCTTACCACGTGATATAACAGGACTCAATTCAAAATCCAAATAATAACCAATCATTCACAATATAACAAGAAATATCTCAATTTTTTCTTAATATAATCAATAAAATATAAATCATATATTTTCCCAAACGACACAATCATAATTCTAAAAGTCCCACAAGACAATTTTCATAGTTCAAAAAGGTATAACATATTTCCTTAAGTTTCAGATAGCACATCATTATTTGAAAATATCAAAATACTCACAAACAGCATATTAGTACATATAATAAGTGGAAAGTGATTATATCTCGCCAAAGTAATAAAAAAGATTACCATAAGGTCAATCCCGTGCTCAACTCATAATTAATTTATGCAATTAATATGACCACTTATTAATATAAGTTAGTTAATTAATTAATTAAATTATATATTTTAGTTAAATTTCTAATTTAATTTATTTTTATTTTATATTATAAATTCTTAATTTATAAGTTAAGTTCCAAACTTCAAAAAAAAATCTCTAATAATATATCTTCAGCATTTTCAACATTTTAAACCGATTAAAATCTCAATAATATGTCAAAAAATCCAAATAAATTATTTAACTTAATTTTAATCAGTAAAAATGTGATAAATATCGTATATACAGATTTTTAACTAAATAAATTAATTTAAATATTAAAAATCAATAAATAGACAAATCTACACTAATTAAAATTAACTATCAATTTATCTATAAATTTCTATGGTCAACTATTATCAAAACTCAATACTTACCCCATACACAAGTCTCAAAATTTTTTCTAATCATTATAATAATACTGCCATTAGGAAGCTTAAAATATATAGAAAAAAATCATAGAGAAAATTTGATAAAAAAAAGTAATTTTATGTACCTAAATTATCTTCAAAACTTGTCATCTCCCTCACAATGATAGTCGATCTGTTCCTTATTCTCTCTCCCGCATTCTTTCTCTCTTGTGCCTCATGGGAAATCGAATTGTGGAGGGTATTTTTTAATACCCCACACATTTATTAGGAGGAGCTTCCCTTTAATAAATTCTTTCCAAATTTTTCACCAAACTTTCGATGGAAAGTTACCTCTTTTTTTATATAATAATATAATATTATTTATTTTTAATTATTTTTTATTATTAATATTATTTGTATTTTTTACATAAATCCTTAAATAAGATTTAGGATATTACGTGATCAAATTTACGTGACGTTTTAAAACCATATGTATAATGTTCACTTTGAATTTTGAATGTTTTGGAACTGGATTGATACCAGCTAATATACAAAGACCAAATTACAAATCAGAAAAAACAATATGCCCAGTGCAAGGCATATGTCGTAGTAAATCCTCACGCATACCATTCATAGAATTAAGTCAGTCACATCAGCTTCCTGTAAATTAATAATATACAGTTCTGGTAAAAAAAAAAAATAATATACAGATATATAAGTCCGAAAAAGAATATAAAATCACAGGACCATCCCATCATAACTCCACCCTCGTGCCTTTTGCCCTCTTAACAAATTATTATTTATTTGAAAAGAGAAAAATCATTAATTCACATGTAGGTCACAGGGGATAGTGGGCTAAGTAAATGCCGTCAGGTCCATACATAAACAAGTGAGCCGGGCTTGTATATTGGGTTTGGATGTAACACATGGGTAATTTCATTTTATGTATTAGTACAGAATATGATACAGCAACAGCACTTTAGGAAGAAACATCCAAAAACAGGTATGTGGTGGGAAAGTGAAAGCAAGACGACGAGACTCGCAATTTCCGCCTTCGTCTTCATTAATCCTTCAATACACGTCATGATCACCCTGCATCCCACGCGCAAACACCACATTTATTATCAGTGAATATTATACAAACAATTACAATATCATTAATTAAAAATGGATATAGATCCTGCACAGTGGAGATGGAAATTGAAATGATCATGGAAGATATCGAACTGACTTTCTTGGGGAGGATGAAATCCACGAACTTTTTCTTCCCTTTTACGTTAGTAGGCGACTTCTGTTTCTTCTGTGTCGCTATGGACGAAGAAGAAGAAGAAGCCTGCTGGTGCTGATGATGGCTCTGCGTCACGTATCTCCTGATTTGCTGCCTCACGAATCTCTCGTACAGGAAGGCCGCGCCGTTGAACTGCGGCAGCACCAGCCACGCCACCGCCACCAACTTCACATCGTACCATATCGGAATCCTTCATGTTCACCGTCGTACTCATCAAAATCAAAATCACCCAAAATACTAAAGAGCGATGTACATAATTTGTTATCTGTATGCATATATATATATATATATATATATATATATATATAAGGCTTGTGTTGGTGACTCACCACTCTAGAATTGATTGCAGAAGCATTTCTGTGAGGGTGAGGAAGGAGTATAAGATCCAGTAAGATAGCCACTGCTGATCGTCCAGCTTCGACGGCGACTCTATGGCCACCACGGACGCATACCTGTCATCATCATGGAATTACACGCATCATTCCTCCGCCATGGCCACCTTATCAAAACCCAAAATAACACAGCAACACGAAAAAAACAAAGTATAGGTCTACTCACAAGGGGTACAACAAAGTCACCACCGGCCTGCAAAAGCAATAACACCATCCATATATTCGTCACTTGCTACGCATATATATATTGGATCTAGAAAAGAACAAGTTAAACAAGACCTGCCGGAATAGTACGTACCCGGCGAGCGAATGAAGGTGGGTGACCAAGGTCCACAATTTGCCCATGTTCTTAGGCAGAGACAGAGAAATCTGATTGGATTATTGGGGGCAGCAAAGAGAAGAGGTTAGAGATTGAGGGGATTGCTTGGATCGCGGGGAAGAGGAAAGACCGGATTCTGCCTTGACATCTGGGATATTAGTAGATTCCTTTTATACTGAGGAGGTTCTGTGGCCACGTGTAGGCGTTTCACGTCAGGATGAGGGTCGGTGACACGTAGTGAAATGAGACTGATGGATGGTTTCTATGGTTGCGGATGATCCAAATTCCAAAGACAAGGACTTCACACTTACTCCCTATCTGTTGCACTTGGTGAGTGACCGCATCCGCATGTTCACTATTTTAATTAGGCATTGAATCGAAGGGGAGGACACAGACGACGTGTGGCACAAGTCTTGCTTTTTAATTATTTTGATAAGTTATACTCTTCTTATCCTATTTATAGAGCAGAGAAAAAAAAACATTTTTTGGTCCTATTGATAGGGTATTAAAAGAAATTTTTTTTTTTATAGATATACAATTTTACCTTTCGTTATTATTGTGTTAACTTTATTTACATAAGATATAATATACATTGAATAAGAATAAAGTTAAAAACTTGTTGAATTTTAAATAAAAATTAATAAAGTTTAAAATTTTTCTTAATTTGTGTGTGTGAAACATATTAAAAATGACTTATATATAAGATTAGAGGAGGAATCTTTTATAAATTGCCGACGCAGTAAATTAACCTTACGTCCACTGAATGATTCTGCTTTGGTTTCTGATTGGCAAATCCCAACAAGAGGAGAGAAGAAGTTGCGAGTGAATGATTGTGGAGGAAGAGGCAAGGAAGAGGCACAAGGGAAGTTTCCATAAAGTAGGCAAGTGATCGGAAATTGTTGTGTTGAATGTTGATTATTGTAGGAGTAGGCCGAATTACCTAAGCTTTGATTGGAACCAGGACCCTGAGTTATGATTCAATTCATAAATGGATTCAGTGTGAGGGGTAATGATGCTTTTCATACGAAATTCTGAGCCACCACCAATTCCTCGTCGGCATCCAATAATAGAGCCTTTGGATACTTTATCTGTTCTAACATTTATGTCCTTCTATTATTGGATTGCCCCTCTTTTTAAATTTGCTCTATATAAATCATCCTACCATCTTAGCTTCTCTTCCAAATCAACAACATTACCGCAAATTCTTTGCAAAGGATAAAAAAGAATTACATTCTTAAGAGTACATCCTAACTCTCTTTTTTTTTTTTTTGGGCTATCAAAACCCTTTCTATTTTCGTTAAGTTATGAATTTGATTGGCATAACTAATTACCCACATTATTTCGTTCCACAAATAACATCTTCTTACCACATGTGTACATCATAGCATGTGGGTAATATTCGCCAAAGTCAGTTAATGAGAATTAAAACGGCTTCACTTCGCTTGTGACCAGTTGGACAAGATAACATCATGGCCCAGGAGAAAAAGAACATGGCAAACATGAAATATCTAATCTAAGACTAATCAATCTATGGAAGTAATTTTGGGCGAATATCTTGAAATCTCATCATTATCTAAGAAATAATGCTGTGTCGTCTATCCAGGAAGGCTTCTTTGCATTGTAATAGAAAAATGCAATCATCTGAACTAACTCATCTGCCGTCCTGTGTTCTGCGAAGGTGACAATAATAAGGCATCTTGGGTGAGCAATAAGCCCAAAACAAAGAGACGTGTATGTCTTGTGGTATCAACTAAACAACAGTGAAGAGCAAGATCCAAAGTATTCTCACCTTTCTCCCTATATACGATCCTGTTCCCACGTAAAAATAATATTTGTGGGCATTCTCTGGCTTTAAGGGCATATGCCAAGTCTCTCTCTATATTAATGTCTATCTTAACCGCCTATTACCACGCAGTTCAACGCATTATGGTTAAATAGCACAAAACAGAATGCAATAGATGACAACCAAATAGGTAGTATATAAATTCGTGCTAGATGAATGAAATTTGACCATACCCGCGGAGGCAACCGATCTTTGGCACCCCAGTATACCTTGATTGCTTTCTCCAGCTCTTTCAAAGTTTTCCAGTTATCCATCGCCCTGTGGAATAATTAAAAGTTTAGAACAAACACCAAGAGTTGCCATTAGCTATCAAGGACCCCAACATATATCACTATTCTCCTCATCATATTAACGTCGTTAGAGAAACAGGAAAGAAAAGCTTTCACAAAGAGTAACCTTCCCCAATCAAAAGCATGAACACCGCGAAAAATATCACCTATGGCATGCCATGGCAGAAAGCCAATTTATCTAAAGTTGGACCCTAAAATATCATTTCAGGATCTCAATATTGTCCATATCATACAAAATTATAGACGATGTTAACCAATTGACATATTTCTTTCCCATATCGTTTCTTTTAAAAGTGCTTAGAGAAGTTTAGATATGCATCTCAAGCTTTATCCTTCCTCTGGCGTTTCCCCTCTACCAAACCCACACCCGGAAAAAAAAAGCTGAAAAAAATCATAAAAGCATGTATCAGAAGAGATAGAGGATATAACCTGTTATATCTTTCAAAGACAAGTACAACTAGTGGACTGGGATGGAAAGCATAACTCTCCCATTCCAAACAGTTGATCTCTTGCACCCAGTTATCATCAATCTCCCCTTCCCAGTCAATTTCAACACCATCTTCCCCAATAACATTCTTAATTGGATGCTGTTCAAAATAATCAGAAGCTCTTATTCCCCAACCAACATCAGCATCCAGGGGCCAATTCTTACTTTCTTCCTCAATCACCATCTTCTTCTCTCTGCCATTGCTAGCATCATCCTCCTCCTCCACCTCATCATCCTCCTCCTCCCCATCATCATCATCACTGCTCTCAGAATTAGATTCGTCAGAAACTCTTTCCTTCATTATGTTTTCCTTATTCTCCAAAACATCAGAGCTTTGTTGCTGAATTGAAGCAAACGTCCTACCAAGTGAATCACGAATGAAATCTTCAACTGCCATGGCTTCGCTTTTACGCCCACGCCTTGGCTTCCTTGGAATTGTTAAGGAGAACTTGGCAGAACTTTTATCATCAACATCAGGTACCTCATTTTTTGGTTTGCGGCTTCCGGTCTTACGTTGAGCTCTTGGAGAGGAACTGGAGCTAGCTTCAGGTTCTGGTTCTGGAACAGGAATTTTTGAAGCAGCAGATGGAGGTACAGATTGCATGGCACGATGAAAATGTACAGGGGAATGCAAGAACAATCTCAAACGAGAAGTAACATTGGTAGAGTCAAAAGATAAATCTTGAATATTAAATGATGAAGAAAGATAAAAACTAGGATCTCTTTCTGTAGCACAAAAAGGTGATAAGCATCTAGGCAGGGCTGAAGCTTGGAGAATTAGCATCTTTCAATTTCACAATGAAGATGCCAACCTTCCCGAAAACAAAGTTATAAGTGGAATGGTACAATTACTTCAACCAACGAATGGACTGCGGGCAGGATCCCATCAGCTTCTCTTCACCTGGCTACACAGATAAATATAATTTGAAAAAATAAACAAACAAGAAAAGTACCATGATCAATGCTCAGCATAAAATAAATAAAGAATGTGAAAAACAACACAGCTGCAATTTCACCACGTAAACTTAATTCAAAATCATAAATCAACATGAACAAAGCAAGTTCACAACTCATGATGAATATCCCCCCAGCTTTAGGGTACTAAAATCCAATCCCCGCCTAAGCATATGGATCACTGTCTTGCTAAATACCGTAAGAAAGATATCGTCATGAAATGCAAGGCTTGTGGATTCAATTAGCCACTTTCCCTTGTTAAGTTGGCGAAGTAAAAGGTATGAGTGAGAGACGTCACTCTCCATCCTTCTCCCCAAAAGCAAAGTGAACATAGTCCCATTAAGGCCAAGCAGAGTACTGGGAATACAGATCAGCCGGTCACAGGCTGCGGGCCTAAACGGACCGACACTGCAAGGTCGGAATTCCAGAAATGTTTCATTTTGCTAGGCCTAACCCTTAGCCAGCCTGCAGGCTTTCAGCTTATTAAAAAAAATGCAAGTTTTGTTCCACATGTTTTATTTTAAAAAAATAAAAATAAAGCAATGAAATTACTAATAATAAAAAGCATAAATATAAATAAAATTAAGTCACAAACACAAAACATCATCACATCTAAATATCCATCAACACCCAAAAATATCTAAAACATCCATGAACAAGACAATAACATCTAAAAGTACCATGACTTGTTAACAGGCTCTTCTTGACTGCTAAAAAAATCAAAAGGCATCAAATTTCTTTCACTTGATCAAGCTAGTATCATCAAAATTCAAAAGGATCAAATTTCTACCGCGAACCGTCATGACAAGCACCATTCAATGCATAGAATCAGCCAAAAATAAAGCCACGATGAAAATGGCTAGCACGTATAGTATTGTGTGTATCAAATTTACTCAACATCTCAGTTTTGAACTACAAGACAAGCCCACGAGAGAAGTGAATAAACAAGAAGCCCAATGAATGAACAGCAATCAACACCAGAAACGATTTACATCAGAAAAATCATGCAATTGATAGTTAAAGCAAGAGAAGCAAACAAACAATAGGTACTGGTCATTCCAACACTTACATCAGCAAATACATATATAAATCTATCAAAAAGTCTAAAATACTAACAATCAACGCACAGGCACAGCGAGGGGAGAGGTGGTCGCTGCTGGACGGGCTCACGCACGGCGGACACACGGCTCGCTGGTCGCTGGACGCTGGACGCTGACAAGGAGATGCCGAGATGGGGAAGGAGCTGCTGCTCAAGTCGACTGTCGCAGACGCAGGGGAAGCAGATGCGAAACGCGAGAGCGTAAGGCGAGATGGAGAGGCTGTGGGCGACCGGGCGTAAGGTACGAGCTGAGAGAGTGAGGGAAAAAGCGTGCGGAAAAGGTGAGGCTTTTGGTTTTTGGGGAAGAAAAAAAAGATTAAAAAAAAAAAAAAAACATCAAGCATCCTCACAGTCACCGACCAGCTGCTCACCGGAGTTCTAACAGCCGGTGACGTTTTTTTATAAAATTTGTTCAAATCTAGTAATACAATTAACAAGTTTTTTAAGGATATTAACAAATTATATATAACATTTAACAACAGGTTTTTTAATAAATTTAAAAAATAATATTTTTACAATTTTAATAACGCATTTAACAAGTCATGTTATTATATTAACAACTCTCATAACAAATGTTAACATCTCTTATAGTCATTGTGATTGCTTAATAAATAAAAAAATTTTGTTGTATAATCTTCATAAGGAGCTAGAGTCAGAAAAACAAACCGAAATCATTAGACCAACTTGCTTAAGCCCAAAAATTGTAAAGGTCATGCTTAGAATTTTTTCCTTGGAATGAAAAATGGGCTTAAAATGATTGGCCTTGTAAAGCTGAGAAAGTAAACAGGCCAATCCTATAGGTTCGAGAGCCAGACTACTTAGGCTCTATTATAATTTTATTTTGTTTTTTTTAAAATTTTTTATATAATATTATTAATTTTTTTACATTGATAGTGATATTTGAAATATTTAGTATTATTATTGTTTTGAAATTAAACAAAATGGTTTGATTTGTTGGTTTTGAATAATAATTTATTCAATTAAATTTTTAAAAATGGGTTAATTTTGACCTTAATAATAATTTGATTTATATTATATGTGTTGATATTTTTAAACTATATATATTTGATAAGAAAGTATTTTTATACTTATATAACTTGTGATTTTATAATTTGAATTAGAGATTTATAAGTTTCAACCATAATGCATCTCAAACTAAAATAAAATAATAGCTAAATTACAAAATTGAAAAGTGAAATTTCTATGAAGAAGAAAAACTTGATATTTTAGCCACTAAAGAAGAGCATACTTATAAAAAAGAGCAATTAATTATAGTGATGATGAAGTTTTAAAAAATTGATGTATTTATCTATTGTATATTTGCATTATTTATAGAACCTTTGGATGTTATTATCTTGTCGATGGATGTTGTAGATGTTCTTTGATGTTGATGGACATTTAGACATGATGATATTTTGTATTTGTAACTTAATTTTATTCATATATATGCCTTTTTATTAGTAATTTCATTGTTTTATTTTTATTTTTTTTAATAAAACGTATGAGGAATATAAAAACATATATTTTTTCTTAAATGGGACCAAAAATCTGTGAATTGGCCCTCAACCCCTTGGCTTAAGAGTTGGGCTTAGCAAAGTAGAAAATATCTAAAATTTCAGCCTTACAAGACTGACCCGTTTAAACTCGCAGTCTTATAGGGCTAGCCTGTATTCATAAGACTATAGGGAGCCAATATTAAAAACATCAGCCTTCATAAGAAAATTTTGTTAATGGCATTATGAGAGTTGTTATTATTAAAATTATAAAAATGCCACTTTTTAAATTTTTTAAAAAATCTGTTGTTAATTATTATGCCGAACTTGTTAACCGCGTTACAAGACTTGAAAAAATTTCTATTTATGATGCCATGACTAAAGTGTAAAAAGCTCCCAGATCACATGATTAATGGCCTTATGAGAACTGTTTATTTAATTGCATGACTTGTTAATTGCTAAGAATACTACTTTTTAAACTTTCTAAGAACCTTGTTGCTAAGTACCATACGGAACTTATTAATAACTTTAAAGAACTTATTACTGTACTTAAAAAAATCCTGAAAAAAAAAAGTTTTTCCTCTGGACTTGAACTCCGGCTACCGCCAGTGGCATCAGAGCTTTGGTGACTAGCTGGCCGATGAGGGTGCTTGATAGTTGTTTTTTAAAAAAAAAATAACAAAGGACAATTTAATCTTTTTAGTAAACTTCAAAATTCTAATTTGGTCATGTGTTCTCAAAGAGGAATTTTTATTATGTAAATGACCAAACATAATAGTAAATTGTAAATATAAATTAAGGAAAGAAAATGTTGGTTAAACCGGCTGGCCCATTTGTTTTCTAGCCTTGCAGACCTTTTTTAAATCCAACTTTTCTTTAAAGACTCTAAAGGTTCTCAACTTAAATGGATCAGGCCCAGTCTGTTTTCGGCTAACACAGGGAACAAATGACGAGGGAAACAAAATTCAAAGCCGCATTGAACAATCTCACCGGATTTATTTTTTTTTAATTACAACGGCAAGTTAAAAGCTTGGGAAACAAAAACCTTTTACAGGGGTTTCAGTTTAAGAAATCACTCGCCCCTTGTAGACCCCGTAAATCTTCCACATATCTCCTCCTACATACTGGGTCAACCTCTGTCACTAACTAACACTTTGGATAGAAACCAAACTATAGTTTTAGAAATATTTTTATAGTTTATGAAGTAAATATGTAGAAGAATTTACCTCGTTTTATAAAAAAATACTTCTGAAACCATGGTTTGGAGGTTGCCAAACACCCCCTAAGACTATTTCTGGGCCCACCTGGTGTCCTGCTCTTGCCATGCTATCCGCACATTACATGTTTTCTCGGCTGCTGTAACTTACTCGCACATTTCGGCTTTCATAGAGTAGACTCCTCGCTCTTTCTATCTCATTTTGGAAGGGGTGGTTTCTGCCGCTGTCTCGTGCCACCATACTTATTGCCTCCAGGGAATCCGAGTATATATTAAAGTTCGCTATGCTTAGTGATTTACAGACCTCCAGGCCTGTGTAGATCGCCCACAGCTCCGCCATAGAATCTCACCGGATTTTGGAGCTGGACAAAGCCCTGGGGCTTGACTTCCTCCAATATTTTCCGAGAACAATCGAGCAGACTTACCAACTATGGACAGCGTCTGACAGCGAGGTCGACCAAGCGTGAAATGCTTGTTCTTTGGCGAACAAAAAAGGATCCGCTCCTCCTTACTATACGAGATTGTACACTTCTATCCCATTTGCCAGCCCGTTGAATCTTGAAATTTCAAATTAATTTTATTTGCTTCACTTTAATAACATTTGATCACATTTGAAAAGAATTACAATATATTTTTATAGTAATTACTGATTTGAGATTTTAAAATTTTAAGAATATTTTTTGAGATTTTTCAAAAATATTTCGTATATTTTATTGTTTTATCTGTGTTGTATTCTTTTTGAATACGTTATAATTTGTTTTTAACTTCAACACATAATAATTTTAACAACAAAAATAACTAGTTTTATTATATTAAATTGAAGTCAACTATAGGATTTGTTTGGTACGAAAAAAATGAAGGGAATAGGAGGGGAGAAAAAATTTTAGTGAACTCTATTTAAAAAATTGAAAATTGGAGTTAAAAGCTTTTGATTGAATTTTATTATTCTTTTACCTTACCTCCTCTCTTTATTAAAATTTTAAAACCCAACTTCTCTAACTTTTTAAATTGAGTTCATTAAAATTTTCTCTCATCCCCCTTTCCTCATACCAAACATAGGGTTGGTGTTATGGATGTCTATTAACTAATTTTTAACTTATATTATTTATCATGACAACTTTGTCCCAGTCCCGTAAATTAGAACAAGATATAATCAAGACAGATAAAAGACATCCCATCTATTTTTCTAGATGAAATTCCAGAAATATTTTTTTGGGATAATTAATCCACAGCTCCTTATAGTTTCAACTAATTTTGAATCAGGTTCTTATAGTTTTTTTTCTTTTTATCATGTCCTTATACTTTCACCTGTTTTTAATTAGATCCTTGTATTTATTTTTCTTTTTATCAAGTCCTTATAAGTTCACCTTATTTTTAATTAAGATCCTGAATTTTTATTCTTTATTTTATAAATTCTAATAGTACTATTATATAAACATAAAATAGTATATATTATTTAATATTAGTTTATAAACAATAATATTCTAAAGATATTGAATTATTATAATGATTTTAATTTTTTTCAGCAAAAAAATTAATTGTTCTAAAAAAATTTCCTGAATTAATTAATTCTCTTACTTTTTTATTACATAATTATTAATTTAATTTAATTATTAATATTTTATATTTCAGTATTAATCTATTTGATTAAGCTTATATTTAATTAATAAATAAAAATTAAAACTACATGGACCTGATTAAAAATTTAGTGAAATTATAAGGACTTAATTAAAAGAAAAATAAATACAAGGACCTAATTAAAAAAAAGTAAAAGTATAAGGACTTGATAAAAAGAAAAAAACTATGGGACCTGATTCAAAATTCGTTGAAACTATAAGGACTTGCGGATTAATTAACCCTATTTTTTTTGGAATTTTTTAAAAATATTTCATAAATTTTATTGTTTTATCTTTGTGTTGTATTTCTTTTACGTGATAATTTGTTATTACCTCCAATACATAATGATTTTAACAGCAACAAAAATAACTAGCTGTATTATATTAAATTAAGGTCAACTGTGACTGTGAGTGTCATGGATGTCCATTAATAACTAATTATATTATTTATCATGACAACTCTATCCCAGCGCCGTTAATTAGAGCAAGATATAATCAAGACAGAACAAAATATCCCATCTATTTTTTAAAAACTTCGAATTTGAAAACCAACTGTGCATGAAATATAAAAAATAAAGATAAAGCCGCACAAAGAAAATAGATAAAAATAAATTTTAGTAATAACTAAAACTTAGCAGAGAAAAATAATTTTTTATAATCTTGATTTACAAATAAATGAGCTCAAAACATCTAAAAAAAAATTATATAATCCATATAGAAGAACTTGTTCATGACGTAATCAAAATAATAAATGACAATATATAATTAAAAAAATCAGGATGGGACACTCTTATTCTGTTTTCTGTCACATGCTGAAAATTTTTGAGATATATAGATAATACCGTTTGCCATTACAGTATGTGCATCATATAAGCTTACAAGGGATATACTTATTTAATATTTAATATTATTTAGTCAGACTTCAAGAGGTATATCATACCGTTACAATACTCGCGAATGAATATTTTTGGAGCACCAAATCTTGATTGAAAGGTTTAAGTTATCTCCATTCCATATCACAGCAGACATGAATTTGAACCAAAAAAAATTCCATTTCCTCATATCAATCATCATATCCATTCATCTATCAATTCTTCTCATCGGGAAAAAAAAAAATCTATCAATTCAGTCACGTGATCTTACCACATCAGTGTCCAGCCAACTAAATTAGCCTGGATCATTCACAAGCATACATTCCTCCAGATATTGGGGTCCCACTTTATTACATGATAATAAATATGTCAAAGCCATCAAGATTCCACAAGTTTCTCCACTTAGGTAAGAAGTCATAGTCTGGTTACTTGAAATGAAAGGTTCGCATCATCCCCTTAGCACATTACAACATTTTCACACTTTCCTAATTAGAAGATACAGTCTCTGATCCAGCTCAAACTTGTTGCAATGAGAAGGGTCCCCCACCAGCATCATTAGAAGCCCACCAAAAGATATATTTATCTCCCTGCAACCCAGTTAAAAAACCAAGTTAATTTATATTGCCTGAGGTACACTATCATCACCTTTAAATAATTAAATGATCACATTCATCATTGAACATTTAACTGTTCATACAACAAATGCCATGCGAAAATGAACCATCCTGATGCATTTTCAGTACACAATAATACCAGGATGCGTATTTTTTTCCCTTCCGTGCATAGATAATAAAATATGACTTACTTGAAAAGGAAAAAAAATGAAAACTGTGAATATTGGAAATGTAAACAAAAGGATAATTAATCACTACTATGAAAAGTAAGAAGACATAATCTATATCTATATCTATATATTTATACCTATAAAATCTTGTGGGAACCACAGCTAAGAACAGCATTAAATCCTAAAACTTTTTACCTCCTGGGCTGCGTATATTATTTTAAAATTCCATAACACCATATTAAAATAAAAAGGGTAAATAAGAAAAGACAAATGGACTGGGCCTGATGGAGGCCAGATTGGCACCATTCCTAAACCATTTGACTTCTTCTGGATTTATTAAATATATGGTTATAAAAATAGAAATCATATCTGCAATTTGATTGAAAAAACTGAAATGCGTGATTGCCTGGTATGAAGACTCTAAATTCCTAAATCAGCACAAGAGGTCTCACAGCAATTCCATTTTTCAAAATCTGACACCCAGAATAGATAATAAATCAATATTCAGAATCTAAGACTACATACGCTTTGTCCCGTCCTGAACCTTCAGAAATTCTATAAAGCTTCCCATACATTACATATTCAAACTTGTCAGCCAGTGATTCTCGATTGCCCTGAAAAGTGGTAGAAAACTGTCAGGCAAATTCAGCGTTAGCGATTTGCCAAGCAACAGAAAAAAAATATCTACAACTTACAAAGGAGAGAAAAATAAAGAACCAAATATTAGACAGGTAAAGTTACATTATCACTCACTCTCATCATTCATTCAATAGGGTAATTCTTGATCCCATGAGAAATGTATTATATAAACCAATATTCTTTTGAATCCTCACATATCAGATGCCATCAGTTTAGTAGCAGCCTAGTAAATTTGAGCCATGGTTTGAGGGATATTGACCATGTCTTGCTATTAAATTATCAAGATCATTAGTGGGCTGCATACTAAAGATCTGAACTTGCTCAATGAAACAGATCGCAGGCCATCTTGAAAAGATAAAGGTTAGATGTTAATTTTCACAAACACTCCCACTGCACTTTTCTTACATCAGCGGAAGTGAGTGTTGACCTAAAACAAGAGGATAATAAGTGGCTTCAAGCTACATACATTTGAGGCAATTACTTTTACAAGTGGACCTGTAGAACATAAATCAGTGAATTCAACTCAGACGAAGAAAGCCACAAATATTATAACTCTCAGAAGGTCTTAATCTAACAGCCTGAAATTCTCTTTCTCCATGAGCTCCGAGTAAAGTAAATTAAGAAATAGCACTAATGCTTGATGTTCATCAAGATCGATACATGGATTACATCCCAGCTCTACCACAAACTTAAGACCACAAACAAAGCAACTGCCTTTTTCTCAGCAAAAATCAGCTGCTTAAAAAAAAAAAAAAAAAGGAACGGGGAGTGAGTGGTCATGTCAGAAATATAGAAATGATCCTTACCAATAATACACACAGAATATAGTTTTATGATCATGCACAAACCATGCTCTTACCATATAATTAAAAACAAATGAGGAAAATACAAAATAACTAACACCAACAGAAACAAGAACCTTCAGTTAAAGTCTGCAGAAAATGCCAATAACCACATGTAAACTAGTTTACAGAGGTAAAACAGAGTGACTTTTAAAATAAGAGATAAAATACCGGAACATAATAGCCAGTGTCCGATTTTCCTTCTGGGTTAAGTGTTGGAACCAGTAAAAGGGCAAACTTTTGTCCTACTTGTAAAGGATATATTTCGGAATTGATGTCTAGGTGCATAAACATGTCAAACCTTTCACTTTTTGCTTCAATGCGTGTAACTGCAAAAGGTAAAACACATGGAAGTTTAATAATAATATAGAAAGTACCAAGTTTGTGTTTCAAGTAAGATGAGTCTCAGAAAGTGCATCAACAGAATATTGTTTACGCCCAACTTCTTAGACAAGCTCTCTTAACAATGTTAATAGAGCTTGGTATAATACTTTCATTGTGGTTCAATTAGTATCTTTGTGCCATGCATCATCTGTTTGACACTTTGATTTGGCCTCTTTAAGTTATTTTCTTCCTAATTTGTCCTCTATTTCATAAACTATGTCACATCTAACCTAAATCATCAATTCTGTCAATTAAGTTAACAGACAGGAAAAATAGAGCTTCTGCGGCACCTACCTGGATGATATAATCTTTTCCTTTCTTACAAAAATAGGTTAATATCGGACATGAACATGACAGAGTGAGACAACAATAAAGCACCTTGAAACCCTTACTTCCCAAGTTCTAAAACCAAATCTAAGTCAAACTTGAGGTAATAACCTATACTCATTCAGCAAGACACTGTACACATAGTGGGTCAGTTGTTTACTGCTGCAGGCAAGTTCACGGCAAGTGAAAGTAATGTTACCATGTTTGGTTCAATCAATGAAATGAAAGCCAGTGATCCTGCTCATCTTAACAAAGACACTAGATAAGTATCTTGTTAAGAATGGTGGGTATTTAGAGCAGGAAACACTCCATTTGACAAATGGTGACTGCTTTTGTCCAGAGGCTCAGGAATATCAGACTCATGAGTAGTTAACATTTACTTGTTATATGTGCTGGCATTCAGACTGAAGGTGTTGCCGGCTTACAATACAAAGGCCTAGACAGTGTAGGTGGTGGCGCCATTGCTAATTTATGAAACGCACGCAACAACAGATTTGATGGAGTTGCTGGCCTCAACCCTAAACCATGGTATAAACTATAAACCTTCTGTACTTAAGGCAAGTAAGTGCAACTCCAGAAGTTGGCTCATAGGTTTAGATTAAGACAGTAAAACTGAAGGTGTAGCAAACTAGAAAACAGAAGAGGTAAAACTGAAGGTGTAGCAAACTAGAAAACAGAAGAGAGTGCACCCACCATTAGAGAATGCACTCGAAGTCACTCAGTTCTATGATTATCAATCAATTTCCACCATTATTAATGTATCATTACAATGCATAGCCAGTATTTCCGAGTCAATCATGCTTCCTTGGCCATTACTCTTCATGATAGCAGAACAGCAATTAAAATAGCCAAGTTTGCAGTAAAATCTACCTCAAGACCAAGGAATGCTCCAGGTAAGGGTTCTCTACAGGTAGTTAATAGTAAGAAGGGCAATAGGTAGTGAACTTGGGTGCAGTTCTTCTGCCTATGTCTAAAACAGATGGGCAAGGAAGGCTAGCAGAATGATGACCAAAAACTGCCTGAGGTACTTTCATTTCTCATCTCTTAATAGAACAAACAAGAAAGGGGCTTTCCATTTAATTCAAGACAAAAATGTAAGAATGAAAAGGAATACTGATTAAATGAGCATAATAACCATAAAGCAAACACACAGAAAAATAAATATTATGTAGAAAAGTAAATAAAATTCAGACAAATAATGGACACCCATAAAAGACATACCTCTATCAAATGCTTTTTTGCCTTCTGGAGGATTCAATTGCTCCACCCTAAATATATCATCAAAGAGGACCTCAACCATCTTAGCAGCAAATTTGTTCTTCAACCAAATGCAGCTAATTATCAAGAGATTAAGTAAAATAAGGTTAGAAACTAAAAAAAATACAAGGGAAGATTTAAAGACCAGGTGTTATTAAAAAAAATTGATAGAAAATATAGAGCTTAAATGAATAACAAATAGAGCTTTCCAAAGGAAATATTAACAAGGAGAAATGGAAAATTATATGCCAAAATGCCAAGAAAAACGATGTAGAGCAACCTTTATGAAAAAAATCCGACATAGATTAAAAATTGTGAAGTAGCATGGTATCCATATATATAAATATATATATATGTATATAAACATATATGATAAATAGAACTTAATAATCAGAGGGAGAAGCAGGTGCCCGTGGAAATATATCATTCAATTGGCCAACTTGTCCATTTAATACCTCAAAGCACTAAAAGCACAACCATTTCTCACGTGTATATATTTATACAACGTTGCTTAAAATTCCCACTTATAGATAACTGGATATACCCAACCCAATAATTCAAAAGGACGGTTCTTCATTTTGTTTACGGTTCAAAGAAGAGTGTTCAGGCCCTCATCTGGTTAACTTTGGTTCTTCAGTCGTGGAGCTAAAAGAATCAGAAGCACCATAAAAATTCAATCATATTAGGATAACACATTAACACTCGATTCTTGCCTCAAAAGAGAAATTATATGGCCAGTGAAAACTTTATTGACAAACCTATAAGCTTCTTCTTTCCAATGCACCATATTCTTAGACAGAATTCAAGAATCAAAGATTCGCCAATACATTCTTCGGATTCTAGCGGGGCCTCCATTGATGGAGATGGTTAAAACGGAGGGGAAAACTGATAGTACTGGTCAATTGAGTTTTAGGGCATTGAACCGAGAGAAGTAGTATGCAAAAGTTGCTTCTAGAATTTTCAGGCAGGCGGCCAAGCCAGGAAACAAGTTAGTCAATATATGGCCAAGTCCAGAAAACATTTTTTTATATACCCTAGGCAGGAATTCTTTGAAAAGCTAAAGCAAGAAAGGTATTGGAACTTGAGAATTTTTAACGCCCTAACCTGCGAAGAAGAACTACGACACCTTAAAATCGGTCTCTTTCCAGCGACGCCGACCCCGAGTAGTGGAAAAGGTGCTGGAACTCGGATGCTGGGGTTGAAGGGAAGCTACGCTCGGCTAAGGAACTGAGACGTGTGCAGTGTGGCGGAGGCGGGGAGGAATGAGACCGCAGTCAGTTGCACCCATCGAATCCGTTACCAAGCTCCAAACGGCAGCGTTTGGGATGTTGCATTCTTTTTCTTTTTTTTTGGGTACAACGTAACCTCAGGTGTAAACGGTGATTATATTAATTTTTCAACTTTAATATAAGATCTATTTAACTAATTTGATTAAATTAAAAAGTTAGGTAAGTTAATTAATTATAAGAAATATGACATATTTTTTCTAAAGCACCATAGTCATCTTTCTTAATATTCTCTCTTTCTTTTCAGAGAAAATTGATAAATATAAAAAATAGGTTTTATATTTAGGATCAAAATGAACTCAATAATTATATCCTATATTAAGAACTGAAGGAGTATAATTTTATATTACCACCTATTTTTAATATAAGAGTTAGTTTTGAATTAAATTTAATCTTAAATATAATAATTCAATATAATTTGTTTTCCTTATTTATCCATTTTGCACTAAAATAATTCCTATGATGATTGTACATCTTCATAAATTTCCATTAAAAGTCGTTAGTTATCCCTTTCTTGTATTAATGGCCAGATGTAGTATTATTCTATTTTTACATAAATAAATATACAAAAAAAATTTATAATGTGTTCTGGACTATACATAATTTTTTTTTTTACTGTGACACTAAATATAAGTATCCCTCTTGGTAAAATTTCCAAAATTAGTTTATCACAGGACCAGTCCCCTCTTGAGAGCTACGACAACATACAGCCGTGAACGGCGACAGAGGGACGAGCACCGGACTAAAGGCCCAGAAAGCTGCAACATAAAGCCCAAACTGGAACACTGCAAGGACCCAAACAGAAACAGAGAACTCGAACAGAAAGCATAAACACAGAGGCCGTAGCTTGAAAAGCCATGATACTGGCTCAGGTTGAGACGGAAACAAATAAAACTAAAGAAACCAACAGAGGTTAGTCCAAGTAGTAAGCGACTTAGTACCGCTTAAACGAGGTCTTGAGTTCGAGCCTTAACGTATGCAGAAATCCCCGTTGGGAGACTCACCCATCACAGCCAAGTGCGCGACGCGGGTCGGATCCAGATGTAGTCGGAGTAAAGCTCCGGTAAACTGGGTAGGCAACCAAAAATAAAAAAATAAAAAATAAAACTAAAGAAAGGGGCAGTGAGGAAAACGACGGACATATCTCATTTAGTGAGGCAGTATGCATGGCTTAATTTGTTATGCCACATTAATAAGCATACCAACGTATCATTGTCCTCTTTCCCTCCACATTTATTTTGCATTCATTCCTATTTTCAATTCCCACTCTCCTTCATTAATTTACTCCACCAACTTATATCCTTCTCCAACACCATTTTGATTCGCAACGTTACTCTTGTTTTTCCTCTTGCCTCGTATAATTATTCTTCTATTAAAAACAATACTGTTCAGTTAATGAATCGATTGATCTATTTTGCGCCGCGTTAAAATTCCATATGAGATGACAAGACCGCTACAATTCCAATTCCATTCCGTCCTTGTTATGAGAGATCAGCCCGTGGGAATGAAGAGCGTTGGAATGATAGGTTAACAATGAAAAGAAAAAGGGTTTTTGTTTAATTTTTTATTATTTATGTATGGACGAGTTTGTGGTGACATGTTTGAGAGACTCAGAAAGGAGCTTCAATAATCCAAGACCAATTGCCCCATTCTAAGCTGGCTACATTAATAATGTTATTGAGGATTATATTATTCATAAAATGAAACATGCCCCGGACACATTAGAAAAGTGACAAAAAGCATGTTCAAAGCTCTGTCTCAGCAAATTAAACGAGCTTGGTATGTGTCTCTCTCTATATATACATATACATACATATATATATATAATTCGAAGGCAACAAAAGGGTATGTGTGAATTTTGAATTTGATCCTTTCTTCTTGCCCAGAAAGATCCAAACTAAAAGAGGAAAGTACATGCATTCCCAGAATTTATTTATTTATTTTAAAATGGATCTGACTGTTGACACACACACACACATGCATGAACAGAACGCTACTAATGGGAGATACTGTTTAAGCCAGATGAAGCTAAAAAGCTTGAATATTCCCAACAAGATTAGAATAATCAGAGTAATTAAATAGGAAAGAAGGAGGGGAGTGAGGTGGATGGGGGAATGATGAAATTAGCATGTGACATGGAAGGAATCTTGAAGGCACAAAAGGGTCACAACAACAACTGCTTTTGGAGGAAAATGGTGTGAGTTAGAGCCATGGAACACACCTTTCTCATTATCTAATGTTTGTTGCCATCATCATTAACTTATGTCTTCACCCCCTGGTGGGCACTCTTCCCGAGGTCGCAAATTCCTCCCCTCACAATCTCACATTCACCTTTTCACCCCGATATATACTTACCCTATTCCATTTTAAAAAAAAAAAAAAACAGAGAGAATAAAAAATTAGTGTCAGGGCTTTTAATTTCTTAAAGTAATCTTCATTCTCTGCTTAATTTGATGGTCAGTGTTTGAAAATACTATTAAAAATTTTCAATTGTATCTTTTGTTTTGTCTTTGTAGTATTATATTTGTGTGTGTGTGTGGATGGTGGTTTGTTGGTAATTCTGAATTACTCATAGAATCTTTCATTAATTTAGTTGAATAATTAATCTTTAGCTTAAAAGATAATTAATTTTGGTTATTCGTAATAGATTATGGTCTCGTTTGGCAGAGCGGTGGAAATATCTTACAAGCATATTTCACGTAAATCGAGACAAAACTTCTCTCACATATTTGTCTCGTATTCCATAAATTACTATTCAAAAACAGCTTATAAACCACTTATAAACTGTTCCAAACGGGCTTTATATATATTGTATTTAAGTTAGACAGTGCATGCATACATATATATGCACGAAATTATGTTAGATTGACATATATAAAATTGATATGAACAAATATTACAGGAAAGACACCAACATATATATGTGAAATAAATATTATCTACATTAAGTTTAGAAAAATCCTACAAAAGGAACTTAGAAATTAGTAAATCCTGAACAGGATTATTTCCTACACTTTAAGACTTTAATAGATTTTGATTACACTTGATTAGTAAATAATAACATTTTTTTTAGAAATTTCTAATTTAGAATTTAGCAATTTTTAATTTTTTTGGGAATTTCTCAATAAATTTTTGTCGCGAATACTTTTCTGGTCATATTTACAGGGCAAAAAAAGAAGATTTTTTTTTTCATATTTATAGGGTATTGAGAGAAATTTTTTATATCAGTATACAATTTTATTTTTTATTTATCATTGTGTTAACTTTAATTATATGAGATATAATGTATATTAAATAGGAACAAAATTAAAATTTTAATAAATTTTAAATTAAAACTAATAAAATTTAAAATTTTTCTGATATGTGTAAAATATGTTAAAAATAACTTATAAATAAAATAAAAAGAGTATTATTTAAAAATACCCGGCACGCGTTAAAAAACTAACACTGGAGCGATTGGGACAATGACAACAGTGCTGTTAGGCTTAGGTATGAGGTTAGTGGTACTTTTTTTATCGACGAGAATGAACCCACCATGCACTGCCTCTCCTTTTAATGACACCAACTTTGTCAGGTTTATGAGCCCTTTTTTATTTTCATTTTATTATTATTTTAAATAACTTTTGAAAAGCAACGTGGCATTCATAAAAAAACCGGGCCTCCAATTTTTAACTTTATCCTTTAGTTTGCTCACATCGATTGGAATTTATGCGCCACAAAACAAATTCTCTGTTAAATCCCCTCACCTGATATTACGTAGTATTAGAGTGAGTTTGTCGTGTTGGGTAAAAAAATAACGATCGGCTCAGCTACACTATTGCGTGTGCGTGGCCCCGTTTAAGCCAAAAGGACAGTGCTTTTAATGCACATTCTGTTAATTGAAAAGTTAGGGTAAGAGTTTGATTAAAATGGTTTATAAACAGCATTTTAATCAGATAAATATATGAAGAAAATTTTGTCTTGACTTAGTGTTTATAAACACTTATAAATCGCTAATCCAAACAGGTCCTAGATCATGTCAAATAATTTAACAAAACTTCAAAAGAAGGGAAAGACTGATGAATCATAAAACAGACCCCCCGGCACAACATTTTTATGGAAAGGAAATTAACTTTTACTTTTGTTTTTGTTATGTGTTCTGAAATATAGAAAGAAATCAATTTTTTTCAAAAAAAAAATCAGAATATTTTTGGTTATATTTTATTCTTCAAAATTAGACGACATGTAGTGAATGCCACGTTTTTATTAATGACAGTTCCATTAATAAAGCAAACCATTTTCTAATCATTTACCTCATTATTTTGGATATGTTTTTTCAAAACCATAATTCAAACAGATTCTTTTTTAATTTTTTGTTTTCAAAACTTATTCTTGAAAATTGCTCCGCAGAATTGTTTTAAGAACATAAAAAATATGTAGTAGAATTAAACATGCCTTTATTTTCCCCTCTCTTTTTTCCTTTTTTATCTTCTAAACTTTTCCAAAAGTTGCATCGGATGATTTATCTAATACTCCTCTAGTCCTTAATATAGGACCTAACTGTTAAATTTTTTTTAGTCCTAAATATAAGATTCATTTCTCATATTTATTAATTTTCTCTAAATTACTCTTATGAATGCTTCCTCAACCATAATCAAGTAAAAGAGGGAGATGTGGTATTAAAAAATGATTATAGTATTTTAGAAAAAATGTGTCACATTTTTTATAATTAACTAACTTACCAAACTTTTTTAATCTAATCAAATTAGTTAAATGGGTCTTACATTAAGGATTGGAAGAGTACATATTTCAAAGTGGACCGTAATTTGCTTTCTCTAGATATGCGACAAAGTTTTTTTTTTTTTAAAAGGAAAAAAAGTGAGTGGTAATATTATTTGAGGATGAGTGCTGATTGAGGGCAGGGATTGATTCATTGACCTGTCTTATAGTACACGGTAACAAATATACAGTCAAATGTGCGATTATGCGTTAATAAACT